GGGGAATCCAGCCCCTCCCCTGTCACGGCAGAGAGCTGTGACAGGATCGAGAGGTGAGCGAACGCCGGTATGTGTTCGCTCACCTCCCGATCTACTGAGCCGACCTGTGACAGTCTCATTGTCACAGGTCGGCTACAACTATGAGGTGAGTGAAAAGCACTCACCTCATAGTTCTCCTTTAATGCTAGCCACATAAGAAGTTCTTATTATCTAGGGAGTAGCCTTAAATAATCATAATTAGAACAAAAAATAATCATAAACAGAACAAAAAAAGTATTGTTTTGGGTTGTGTACGTAGGTTAGCTAACCCTGGTCACTTGTATTTGCCGTTACTGCACCATTCTCCTATTTTAAAGTTTGTCATCAAGGCCTTTGTATAAAACTTACTGACAGTGACCCATGAGCTTTCATTTTTCATATTCCCTAGAATAAAACATATGATCCAATTAGTCACTATGGGCAAGTCTTTCACATTTCTGGAGATCATTCTTTGATCCAGTTTTTGTAAATATGCCACTTTGTCTTCGCACTAACTTATATACTTGCTCAGGCAGAAAACCTTCAGGCTCAAGCAAGTCAGCATTTAGTATCCAACACTGTTATATAAAGTTGTTTGTGTAGTTTGCATATAAAGGATGTATAACTTTCATACATCCCATTTCCTTTAGGCCATTTATAATACCTGTATTATACTGAACACAATTTATTTGCTTGTTCCAGTTGAGATTATGAAAGAATGATCTGTCATATTTCAGCAGTCACATGGACACGCCTAAGGTCCTGGGTTGTCCAGGATATGCAAGGAGAATTTAGTGTACAGAAAAGAGGGAAAAAGTCACAAGACAACTGGTGATTTATAAACAGAGCCCTTAGTTAATAATCTGTGTGGTTTGGAGAATGTAGAACATTCAGATCAACACTAGTCAATCAACAGCAAAGTCAATATGATGTGAAACAAGGAAAAACATAAAACTAATGCTCTAAAAACTTTACCTATAAACATGGAATTAATATTAAAGGAAGTGAAAGAAGAAGAGATCTTTACCATGAATTCATGAAGGACCGTTCATGACAGACTAGTCAATTAATATTCTATGAGGAAGTCCGTATTCATTTAGATAGAGGAATAGCAGTAGACGTGGTGTATCTTGACTTTGCTAAAGCATTTGATACAGTCCCCCACAAACGTTTAATTCATAAACTAAGGTCTATGGGTTTGGATGAAATTGTATGCATATGGGTGAAAGACTGGCTGCATGAACGGATCCAGAGGGTAGTAATAAATGCGTCATTTTCTAATTGGGCAAAGGTTGTGAGCGGGATTCCCCAGGGATCAGTCTTGGGACCAATCCGGTTTATCTTATTTATAAACAACATAGAGATTGGTTTAAATAGTAAAATTTCGTTTTTTGCGGATGATACCAAACTGTGTAGGGCAGTAAATTCTCAAGAAGACATAAACTCGCTTCAACAGGACCTAGATAAAATTGAGGAGTGGGCTGCAAGATGGCAGATGCAATTGAATATTGAAAAATGTAAGGTTATGCACATGGGATCAAAGAACGTGTGTGCAAACTACTACCTAAGGGGTGCACGACTGGGGAAGTCAGAGATGGAGAAGAACCTGGGGGTGCTCATAGATCACAGATTTGGCAATAGCATGCAGTGCCAAGCAGCGGCCAGCAAAACAATCAGGATACTATTCTGCAATAAAAGAGGAATTTTGGCAAGGGATAAAAACATAATGTTACCACTTTATAAATCACTGGTTTGGCCTCACCTTGAGTATGCGGTTCAGTTTTGGTCACCAACTCTCAGGAAAGATGTTCTCGTACTTGAGAGAGTTCAGAGAAGGGCTACAAAATTAATAAAGGGGATGGAAGACCTGAGCTATGACGATCACCTCAGGAAATTACATTTGTTCTTCTTAGAAAAGAGTCGCTTGAGGGGGGACCTAATTGCGATTTTCAAAATCATAAATGGGGTCAACAATATTCGGAATAGGATATTTACACCAAGACCGATACTAATTACACGAGGACACAGCAAGAGATTGGAAGAGAGGAGGTTTCATCTCAGACTGTAAAGGTTTTTTTTTTACTGTGTGAGTAGTAAACATGTGGAATTCCTATCCACAGTCAGTGTGATCAGCTGATAGCATTGATACATTCAAGAAACATTTAGATCAGTTTCTTGAGTTCTTAAACATACAGGGATAGGGGAACTACTAGAGCCAAGCATATATATATATATATACATACATACAGTACATACATACACACATATACTGTACATAGGTTGAACTAGATGGACCAGTGTCTTTATTCAGCCTTACCTACTATGTTACTATGTTTTTGTCCAGTTCACAGAAAAATATTCATTTTAATGCAGTATTTGTTTAGATTCATTTTTAATGTGTTACATTGCCATTCCAAATAATTATCTCCGGCATCCAGACACAACCTATTTGAGATCTCCTGGCTCAATGCTACTGTATGTGTATGCAATGCCCTTTAAATCTTCTGTAGTCAGGAAAACTCGTTCCTTGATTACTCCCCGTGTAGTTGTGAAGCCTACACCACACCTCTATCTATAAAAATAGGTGAACATTCTGAGAATCATCTTTTAAGTGACCCTGGGCTGCCATGGGGGAACAGTGCAGAGGTAGGCATGAATGACGTGCCCTGAGACGCTTTACCCAGGTGCCAGTATTAATCTGGATATTAAGAGACCAGGTTGTAAGCCACTTTCATAGAGATCACTATGATCTAGCTTCTGTTGTGATCGAATTCTCTAAATAGGTGGACATGTATTCACCAACTAAAATGTTTAGGTGCATTGGCTTTCTTGCTTCTAGGCTTTGTCACCTAGGTGCACTAGCAAGCACTTACAAATTGGTCAGGGCACTACTAAACTCAGCTCAGTTCTGAAAGTATGGGCCAAAGCCTGGATACAGAGTTCTGGAACTCTGTGACTAGTCCTCTAGACTCATGCAGCTCGCGATTAGTGAGACCACCCATCATATTTATTCGCTGATAGAGAAGTGCAAGAAGTGACGGGCTAGAGTTTAAAGGAGAACTGAAGCCTTTTTTTTCCTCTGTCTGACTTTTATTCTTGTACTTTGGGTTTATTTACTTGCTCTGCATTTGTTCTCTTCCTTTCTTCATTAATGCTTCTGGTTCCTTCAACCCCTCAGACTCCTCTTTCCTTTCATCCTCTACTCCTTTATCTCTCTTTCAGCCTTTTCTTCTCTACATTTTCCCTTACCATTCTTAAAAACGGAAGTTGTGCTTCGGAGCAGATGCACCATTTATTGTTGCTTCACGTTCGTCCATGGTAATTAGGCAATATGACTTGTCTTAGTCATCTTGTTATGCTATGTTATGCTACAAACTACTGTATGTTGTTAAGACCTGTAACGATTGTCGCACCTTGTTACCCTGTGATTCCGTCTGTCTCTGTGAGTGGTTACATAAATAAAGAATTTACAAAAAAAGAGCTGAAGCCAATTTTTTTTTAGTTTTAAATAGAGTGAAGGAGGGTTATAACCCTTGTCAGCTTTTTTTTGCCATCTGTGTACCATTGGGGAGATTTCCTTTCTCTTTCTGTCCAATTGTCACAATAGGAAGTAAGAGGAATCCCTTCAAAGTGAGGGAAATCCCTGGTGGTCAGCAGGGTCACCAGAACTAGTGTCCCCTTTGGAAGAGTTTCCATCTATTTCTGTTCTTGTGACCACTCCGGCTCCTATCACTTTCAGTAATAGGAACCGGAATGAAAAGAGAGGGTGAATCTCTCTAACAGGGACACAGGCAGCAATAAAAACCTGACAGGTGTTATAATCCCTCTTCACTCTATCCAAAACTAATAAAAATCTGATATGATGACACCGTGTTTCTGCTGAGTATTTAATTGTGTACTTGGATGTCAAGGCTACAAATGTTAACTTTCCAGCTAAAGATTTACTGTATGTTATGTATGTGTGTTTCTTGTGTAACACTGTAATATGTTCATGTTCCTGTTCATGGATCTTTATAACCTTCAATGTAATTTCCCTTCCAGGATTTGTGGTTGGTCAGTCAGGCCTATACGAGACAATAGGCATGCTGATACTCTCATATTTTATCATCGGAATGACTGTGCTTTCAGTCTGCGCCATATCAACAAATGGAGCCCTGGATGCTGGTGGAGCTTACTGTATCCTTTTTTTAAAGACACCTAATAAATAATATTGTTGAAAAGACTGTAATTCTACCTGGACATAAAAATACTAGAAAACTAGAAAATGTAACCCAATTGAAGGTTTGATCACTGTAGAAATCTTAAGTGGGCAAATTATATTACAGATTAGGTTATGTGATTGTCAAGCGGATGATAATTGCCTTGTGTGTACAGTATATGTAGGTGGTACCTCCTATCAATGGATACATTTATCGGTTTATGTGGCTGTTGACTGACCACTTCTGTATTATATCCTTGAATATGACCAAGGTTTAAGCCTGTTAGGTATAAACTAGCCAGTGCACATGCTTGAGTCAAATCGGCAGCTAAGACAGCGTGTCCACCTTTGCCATGAGGATAAACAGAATTCTTATCTCCAAAATGTAATATTACCATAATTGTCCCTTCTAAAATTTAATTTTTGTTAGTATCTGCTCTGTTTTTACCTTTTATTATCCTTATGAGAATGTGGCTATAATGTAACAATATAATGCTCTTTTCTAATTTTTTTATTTATCTGCTATTTTATATCCTTCTAATGTTGCCATTGGCTGTATGAACTGTTATACCCAGTAAGTGGACATTATGCTTTCCTTAGATTGTCGTGTACCATTAGAATACCCCTGTTAGACCAATTTACATTGCAAGCTGCAGTGGTTGTATGTGCTGAAGCTATAACTTACTCTACAGGTTTCCAATTGTGACTATATACAGACAACTTTCTTTAAATCTAAAGCTGTGAAGGTTTCTTTTATGGAAGGTAGATTCTTTATTTGGATCTTCTAGTTGTAAAGGTTTTAGTGTACATTGGAAGTGTAATTTGCAAGGCCTAATCTAATTCTGGGTGCAGCAATGTTATTTGCACATTATATGGCAACACTAAAATTTTTTAGTGACCCTCAAACATATTAAAGTAACAGTAGCCCGGAATCAGGCATCACAAGGTGTATGCAAGGTATGTGCAAAACTTAATGTGCAAGAAAAACGTCAGAAATGTAAGTTCTCACTTCCAGATAAGTAAGAGAAAATAATGGATTTCACAAAATGTTAATCACAGGTCAGTGGAATAAGAAACATAGAGAAGAAAGATAGAGAATCTTGTTGTGCTGGTGGTTTAATAGATTTAAAGGAGAACTATGGGGTTAGGGCTTTTCTCCGAGGGGTTCTCCGAAGGGTAACGGGAGGACACAAATTAGCGTCCTCCCATTACCCAAAGCTCAGTATACTGCGAGCTGCAGCTCGCGGTATACTGAGACGTCGCAGCTGAAACGGATCCCGACAATTATGTCTGGATCTACCCAACTGCGTGAGTGACAGCTGGCTCTGCCTATCTAGAGGCAGAGCCAGTTGTACCTGCCCCTCCCCTGTCCGTTCCGCCAGTCAGCGCTGGAGGATCGGAGCGGGGAATCTAGTCCCTCCCCTGTCACGGCTCTCTGCCGAGACAGGATCGAGTAGTGAGCGAACGCCGGTATGTGTTCGCTCACCTCCCGATCTACTGAGCCGACCTGTGACAGTCTCATTGTCACAGGTCGGCTAGAACTACCGGTATGAGGATGAGTGAAAAGCACTCACCTCATAGTTCTCCTTTGGGCATATTGCTGTGGTACTTTAAAAGGAGAGAGCATGGGAGAAGCTCAACTGTTAGTCATCATCTTCGAACAGTACTGCAATTTAAACCAATTGTACTTGCAGCTGCCATGATGCCTATACATATACAATGGATTGTCACTCAGTGTACTAAAAGTACAGATAAATGTGTTCCATATGCATTTATCAAGTCATGGCTCTTTTTCACACTTCCCTCTCACAGGCAATGTCTGCCAATATATTGCATTTTCAAGGGACATGGTTTCACAGTACCAGGCCTGCAGGAGATTTATTGTTTAATAATATGGTCTTATAAACAAACAACACTGACTTGGCAATGTATAGGCAAAGCACTGGCAGTATTGACAACACATGGTCTACAAAACAGGCACTTGTCACAATATCTGGGCAACAGTCATTTGGCGCGGCAATACATTAATAAAAAAAGGAGCAATCTTTATAATACTTGGGCATCAAACAAGTAATCGTTACATTACACGGGCAACAAATGGGCAGTCATTATACTATGTAGGCAACAAGTGGGTAATTGTTACAATAAATGGGCAACAAACGGGCAATCATTAGAACATGTGAGCATCAAACAGACGATCATTAAAATATGCCGGCAATACTTGGGAAATCCTTATCATATGCAGGCATCAAACAGGCAATTTTAATAGTAGTTGACATACAGCGGATATGGACGAATTTCCCACTGCGGCTATTGTGTTCTTACAGCTGGCGATGTTCAGCCGAAAATGTTCAGCCCAGCCCCTTTGACCAAAGTCTATGCAGTAAGAATTTCAGCCGTTTCCTATCAATTGGACGAAGTTCTAATAGTGTATGGCCAGCATAAGTTTGCTTTAATATTTGTTTTCTTTTATACTATGCTACAAATATTATTGTAATTAAACAGAAGTTTTCTTTTTTCCTAACCTTCCCCAAATGTTTGGACAGATAAATGCTGTTTTATCCTTGTATCTTTATTCCATCGTGTATGATGGAAATGGGTCCCCCAGAAGAGTTAGAATCACCACAGGCTAATAACAGACCACAAGAGTAATATGTATTTAACCCCTTCATGACTGAGGCCCTTTTGGAGGGGCAACGGAGCCCGGGAAGCACGGCGGGGGTGTCCGGCGGGGGGGGACGGCCCCTTTTTCGGGACGCAGAAGCGATCTGGCGACAGGTAAGTCGCCAGGATCGCTTCTGTTGTAAAGCCGACAGTCGGCTCTACAAGTTTAAACAGAGTCCCGGCGGCAAAAGTCGCCGGGAGTCTGTTTAAACAGCCCCGATGCTGGCGACGTACACTGTACGCCGTCAGTCACGAAGGGGTTAAAATTAACGGACGGACGGGGAGGGGGCAGGCACAGCTGGCTCTGTCACTCACGCAGCTGGGTGGATTTCAACAGCATTATCGGAATCCGTCCCGGCTGCGGCGGTCTCAGTATACCGCGAACTGTAGCTCGCAATATACTGAGCTTTGGGTCATGGGAGGAGGTTAGTATATATCCTCCCATGACCCTAAAGAGAACTATGGGGAAAAACAGTTACCCCATAGTTCTCTATTAACTTAGCAACACTTTAGGCCCCATTCACACTGAGGTAACAGCGGTTTTGCACGTATTATCGGACATTTTGTCTAGCATTTTTGCACATTTTTTGTGTATTTTTGCACGCGTTTGACTCTCGTATGTGAAGTTGGGCTTTTCATCTGGCAGATTTTGAGAAAATAAACTAACAAATGCAAGCAATGATGTGCAAACATTTGTGAAAATGCTTGCCTTCTGCATTTCCAAATGTTTCCATTAAAGTCTTTGGGGTCTATTCACTAAGCTGCCGAAGGATCTAGCCGTAGCTTCGGCTGATCCTTCGGCTAGCTTCGGCCCCAGGACCCCTTTGGTTCAGTAGAACCGAAGGGCTGCTCTATGGGCTATTCGCTATAGCCCGTACAGCTCCTGAAGTCGGCCGAGCGACTCAGTCGAGCCGAAGGCATATGCTTCGGCTCGACTGAGCCGAGGTGAAAGCCGACAGCCTGCTACTGACTGCTGGGCTGAGCCAGCCGGCCACTTGCACAGACAGATCACAGACAGATCACAGACAGATCAGCGTCCCTGTTAACCAGGGACACTGATCTCCAAACAGCCCAACTTTCCCGGACGCTTCGGGAGTCTCCCGCGGCCTGTCGGGAGAGAAACACTTTCTCCCGGAAAGTTTTACTCTGCTTGATCAAGCAGAGTAAAGCTTTCCCTGCTCTGTTTCTTTTTCTTCTGACATCGGAGCCGTTACAAAAGTAGTAAAAAATAAAATAGAAAACGATTGGGCGGAGCTAGCAGTGACAGCTAGCTCCGCCCAACTGTTTTCTATTGGCCGGGCGGTTTTGCTGCCGTCAGAATAAAAAAAAAATCACCATAGGAATGCATAGCTAGATTCCTATTGGCTATTTCAATTTGCAATAGCCAATAGCAAACTAGCTATTGCACCCGCCCTCTGCTGCTGTCAATCAGCAGAGGAGACCTGAAGTTCTCCATTCTCCATCACGTTTTCTATTTTATTTTTTACTACTTTTTTAACTGTTTTTTCTATTCTACTCGGTACCACATCCAGCCTGACGTGAATAGCCGAACAGCGTTCGGCTCACTTCGATTCGGGTCGGTTAGTCACTCGGCTGCCTACGGCAGCTTAGTGAATAGACCCCTATGTGGCCAAACACATAGAAATCTGTAGAAAAGTAGCTCATGTACTTTTTCCAGCAACAGTCATTTTTTTGCAGGCGACATAACACTACGGTATGAACAAGGGCCATAGAGAGCAATGAAATTCCTTGTGTTGAGCGATTTGTAGATCCAAGATTTGAGCAAGAAAGTGCCTAGGTGTGAACGGGGACTAAGACAGTCATAAATGTGGCTGTTAGACTAATTGACAACTGTTTTACCAACAATCATCTCTGTCTGCACTAACTGGTGCTTCAAGGACTAAAGTAGAACTGAAGCCAAAACGTTTTTTTGTTTTGGATAGAAAAAGGGAGGGTTATAACCACTGTCAGCTTTTCTTGCTATCTGTGTCTCACTGGGGAAAAATACCTTTCACTTCCTATCTGATAGCCACAGCAGGAGGTGAGAGGAAATCCTTCCAAAGAGAGGGAAACACCTTGTGGTCAGCAGGCTCAACAGAACTAGTGCTCCCATTGGAAGATTCCCATCTAGTCCTGTTCCGGTGACAACACAAAATGTGGGATTTTCTTTCAGCTTCAGTGATAAAGGTCACCAAGTCCATTGACTTGTATTAGATGTAAGGACGCCGAGGAACTTTTGGGGGAGAGAGAGGTGAGCTCTAACTGCCAAAGGACCAACCATCAGGCGAGTATAACTGATATATTTGAGCCCCCC